AGTCTCCATGCAGAATGCCAACACCTACCTGCACATTTCAATTACTAGAGAGAAACCAGTAGAAGACTCAAGTCAATACCCTTTATTGACCCCAGCTGCCTTCAGGATGATGATGCCTAGTGTCGGGGAAATGTGTCCTCCAAATGCTGCAGAACTGATGTGTCAAACGTCCTTGGTTTCTTTTAACTACCACAGCTAACAGTTTACCACCTGGAAGAGAACGCTTCCTGTGTCATTCAGATGCTCTAGCTCCAGTAGGTCCTGGATAAAACACTCTCCTCTCCTCCACAGGTAGAAGTCTTGCCGTGGTGGTTCTGAGAAGAGTCATGAAGGGACATTTTCCAGCAAGGTCTTGAGGATACTGGTTCAGTTTGCAGTCCTCACCTTCCCCTTTTTCTCAGCTGCAACTGGCCTGCTCTCTTTCATCTTCGTAGCTGTAGTCAGGCATCACTTGCAAAATAATATGATGGCGCAGCAGTGTACTTGTGGCCTTTAAGATTTTCATCACAGCTCCTTTTGACCCAGACACTGTAGATGCTTTTTCTTGTGGCTTCTTCTTTTGTGGCAGCATTTTTGTTGTGGATTCTTTTTTCTTTCTCGTGTTCTTTGCACAGGCAGATGGAACAGTTACCAACTTGCTGATTGTGACTTGTAACATGGAGCTTGGCTGGAAGTAATCAGCCCATTTTTCCTCTTTCAATTATAAATGTTTTGAGCATTTGAAACTCTCTTAAGTGTATTGATACAGTTAGCAGCATCTATCAGAGTATTTCAGATTAGTGGCAGATGCCCAAAGCTTTTCTTGTGGCATTTGGCAGTTTGAGGAAAGTGTTATAACTTTCATCATCTACTTTTGCCAAATGGAGCAAATTATCACAGTTTCCAGGAAGATAAAAATCAGCAGTCTGGAATCTTCTTTGGTCTGTTTTTTTTTTCCTGGATAAGGAATGGAATGGAATGGAATGGAATGATTGGAGAATTATCAACCCTGCTTGGGAGACTGCTGCCTGTTGGTTGAGTTTGCTGGGTGCATGGGTTTTTTTCCTCACTGTGCATTTAAAAATTAAATTGCTAGTTTTTTTAGATTCAGCCTGCAGGCAACACATCTTTCAGCCTGTTCTTATTGCAGTTCAGGATGAATGTAAGTTAAATACAAATTAAGTATATGTATGTGTATCTATTTTTGTCTGTAGATAGATGATGTTATTCCTTCTGGGGAGTAATAATTTGGTAGTTCAAATATGCTTTAATAGACTTCAACATCATCTTTTAAATCCTTGTCTAGTTCTAATTTTTAAAAGATTACTCAATCATAAGGTTTTTTAAAAAACTGTTCTCAGTCAACTTTTATTTCCCTTATTTGCAATGATTTTTATTACATCTGCTTATTGCTCTCTCTAATATGACTAGTGGATGCATCATAGTTGCTGTTTCCCATGTGTTAGCAAATCTGCCCATAATTGTAGATCCAATATGAGACAGAGGCAAGAGTAGTGGGGATTTTTGTTGGTTTTGGAGTCTGTTTTTTGGTGGGGTTTTGGGTTGTTTTTTTTTTTTTTAACCCCCCTCTAATTTTAATGATAGACTGGGCAACCTCCCCCTTTTTTATTTGTCCTTCTATTTAGGCTTCATTTACATTGGAATCTGCTTTAGTATATTTCAAGACAGTGTAAAAGCCCCATTAGCTGGCATGGGCTGTTACAGTAGGAGAGCTGATGTGTGCGGTAGGGAGAGAAGGGAAAAGTGAGACATGGGAAAGGAGGGAAACCTGATGGATGCCCTGTCCAAATCATTCTGGATGTGTCACAGTCAGGAAACTATTTAAACTTAGGTGTGACCTACCTTGAATTTTTGGTTCTCTGAGCTATTAGAACTTGGCTTAATCTCAGTAGACTTTGAAAATACCCTGGAATGAAGAGCATAAAGGTATCATTTGACACTTGCCCTTGGTTTGGGTCAAATTGACTGCTGACTATTGGATTGGTGATAAGAGGGTTTAATAAATGCTAATTCCTTCCAAGAGCACCCCCTTTGATCCTCCTTCTTGTGGTAGTGGTATCCATAAAGCATCTGCCACTGCAGACATGACACACCACATGCAGACATGCATACCTGACTTTGAAAAAAGTTCCTAATTTAAGGCCATGATATTATATGAATTCTGTTACAGTAATTCTACATGTGTATTGGTGTTTTTACTTGATCTTAACCTGGCCTATAATGGACCACGGTATATAGTTGCAAATTTACATATTTCTCTGTGTGTGAGTTTAGTATCACCTCTGTATTTTAAGTGGTAAAAGTGTATGCTGATGTGGTCTACAGTGCTTCCTCTAACTGGTTCATTTTCTGTCCTGGTTCATGGGCAGAAACATAGCTGTCTTCACAAGTTAATGATTGTTCTCAGTGGATCATCTTTACCTCTTCACTTAGACTCATGTTTCCTTTATTTTCTGGGACAATTTGAGTGAATATCTTCTTGAAATGAATAAATTCAAAAGATATTTTTTTTCTCCAGGTTCTCTGAAAGTTCAGGCAGAATGCTCTTTACAAGTTCCCCTCAGCTGCTGGTGGAGGTGGTTTTCATATCAATAGCAGCTAGAGTGGCACAATTTAAAAGAGAAGGAATGTAGCATAGAAGGTTTGGGTCTTTTTTTTTTGTGACCATTCATCACCCCAGGTCAAACCCCAGAATAGACTGAGTTAGAAAGATGTAGGCCTGGATAAAGAATTTTTTTTTTTTAATAACTACTGTGATAACGTTAAGATTGGTTTGAATGCCTTAACCTGTATTTTTATGAATTAAAGTGTGCTTAATCATCTAGTCTAGGTGATCCTGCTCTGGCAGGGGGGGTTGGACTGGATGATCTTTGGAGGCCCCTTCCAACTCCTAATATTCTGTGATTCTGTAATGTTTCATATTTCTGCTTTTGCTCTTTTTTTAATTAAAAAAAAAAAAGGAAGGAAAAAGCAATTCCTAATATGGTAAAAGTGCTTATAGGTCATATTAAAAATAACACATACAAGCTAATTTAATTTCTGAACTAGTGAATAGCATCAGTGTGTATGTACATGCTGCTTATGTGTACACAGTTTATATCACTTCTTCTAGTCTTGTTCTTTGGTAATGGCTTACCAACCAAAAAGAAAAGAGAAAAATGCAGACCATGCAAAGCCAAATCAAACAGCCCTAGAATATAAACTGAAAAGATGCAAGTGTTGTGTTACAGGACAATGTAGTAGCTTTAAAAAACAAAAACCCAAAGCCACAAAGACTACAAAACAGTGGACTGTGTGAAGGTTAACAACGCTCAGAGGAACAAATGAAAATACCTATTTTCGATAGAGATTGCAATTACACCGCATATTTTAGGGTTGAGGTCTCTAGGAGATGGTGAGCACTTCACAGTGGGATACAGGAATTAGGTGCTCTAGGAGTCAGATTTTGGAGGTACTGCTGAGAAGGAGACTATCTGAGGAAATAAGTCAGGAAAGTGAAGACCCAGAGAGCAGGTAAGAAGCAGTAGAGGAGGAAGTAGACCAAGGGCTTAAGCAGGTGAATGTTGCTGGATTTTCTTGGGTTGATTTGACCTGTTAGTACCTTGCCCCTTCAGCTGGATGTTACCATTCCTGTGATAGGCCAATTACTCAGCTTTTCCTGTTCATGTAATGGGTTTGTAAAACAAATGGTTCTCTGCAGCAGGCAATGCGTGTTGGCTTCTAATGCCCTGCTGCAGCCTGTGAAAGAGGTGGTGGGGTACATCCTCCTTATATGGTCCGAGTGAGATTTGACAGAGCTCATCTGCGAGAGTCATGAGGGTAGGCAGGGGACTGTCATATGGAAGGAGGGAAATATGTTGGAGAGAAAAGAAAGGTAGTAACTTAAATGGTGAGAGAGCTTAGGTAAAAAAATGGAGACAATGCTCTATCCTTCATATTTGTGGAGACAGAGGTTTAGAGATATGAGAAAGATGTAAACAGTTTGGGGTACTGAACAAGTCATCTCCCGTGTGTTACTGGGAATTTAAAGTGACATTTTGAACAAGAACAAGTCACTAACGGAGAGAGACAGGGAAGGAAGTATGTCTTCATGGTAAAAAATAAAGAATAGTAAGAAAAGCTGCTGAAAAATAGTGCAGCTTCTTTAGCCTTCTAATTGTTGTGCTGTCTGCCTGTGAATTTATATTACCTGGGTTTGGACATATTGCTTCAGAGGTGTTCTTGGTTTTATTCCTTCAACCAAACACAGTGCAAAGGATCTACCACTGTCAAGAGCTGTCAGAAAGACCATTCAAGAGCAACATTGTTCAGTGTGTAGATTTTAAGTAGCCCGAAGGCCTCTGTACTCTTCTCTGAGACTGTACAACTGCTTACATGGAGTATTTGAAAGGGTTATTTAAAAATTGCTTGCTTTCTTTTTTTAGGGAGGTGGAGCCTGGAACAGTGCTCTAATGGCATCTTCCAGTGCAGGGCTGTCTTCTGAAAAACACTCTATTCTCTTTCTTAACCAATACCAACTTCTAGAACCTAAGAATTTGCAGATCTTTTCCCTTTTGCTCCCTTGTTAGGTTTCCGATCTTTTTACTCTTCATCTCTTGCCTCTTTTCCATGCTCTTAAGACCTCAATAGGTAGTATTCATGCGCTTTGCCAAATTTGCTTTTATGTGAAATGATATTTTAAACTTCCATCAAGCCTATAGAAGACCTACAAATCAATGACCAGGGGAATGCTTTTAGGAGGAGTAGGGGCAAAACAGTAAGAGGATAAAGATGTTTTCTTGAGCACTGGTACATGCAGTTTTTGTTTCAAAGTTGTCCCTTTGTACAAAAGCTGCAGGTGTTTGTTTACCTCTTAAAGCCTCTTTGAACACTATTTGACATGCTTGCTTCCAGTAGCTGCTCTGGCATTTCTCAGGTTATGGTTTCTTTCTGTTACTATCTCCTCTATGATTATATATTACATACCTCATTAAGTTTCATTTCTTTTCTTCTCTTGACAGCTGCAAATCAAAAAGAGCCCTTGACTCCTAAATTTAAAGTGAAAGAGGAGCCTAAAGATGAAGAAGCTGCAAGTTCAGCCTTGTCTCAGTCCAGCTATGTGTTCAGCCAGGAATCGGAAGCCTCAGCTTCAAATGTCCCTGAGGAGAAACTCAAGCCACAGGAAGCGCAGGCAAATGTGATGAGGCAGGACATGTCAGTCAAGGCGGCATCTGAGCTCCTCATGAAGCTCTCAGGTAGATATTTAATTTAATAATATTCAACTTAATTCTTTTTCATGTATGCTAGGAGAGTTACTTTGCAGAAGGAATGTTTAGTGTAAGTAACAAGTGAGGAACAATTTAGGAACAATTGAAAATGTCTATCCACACAGGTTCATATACATAAGACATCTCAATTTGGTCTGTCACTACTGTATCTAATTATCTGTGCTCTGGTCTTCAAATTGACTATGGGAAAAGTCAAAAGAAATTATGCCTTAAAGCTTTTAGATACTGTAGTTTTTTAAATGCACCAAAACATGTTAATACCAATTTATTCACATGTGTCACTCTTATAACATCATAAGAATGTGTACTGAAGTATACTTTTGTACTGAAGTATACCTGATAGAGCTCTATAAATGATTACTTTTAAAGCCTTTTCTTTTTTCTGACACTATCTTGTACTCAAAATCATAAGATAGGCTGTTAAAAAGGTAATGTAAACTGAGCAAGCTTTCTGCTGTTAAAGAGGCCATTTGAACTTGCCTACATTGCCTTAGTGATACACCCTTCTGCCTGACAATTGGACAGAATGTGTGTGTGTTAACATATGTACTGTTGCAACTGGAGGGAGTCAAGTAAAAATGTGTGTTCTGCTAATTATGCTTTGTCTAACTGTCAGAATTGAGGTTTAACTTTAGGGAAAGTAAGAGTTGGATTTTCCCTGCTGGAAACGGGTTTCTAAGTGAATGACAAAAAGGCTTTGAACGTCTAATAGACTTCAGTTTTAGGACCAAGACATCTGGGAGACTATGTTTCGTACTTCCACACCTGAACTGGATCAGTTAGCTTCTGAGTCTTCTCCAAAACTAGCCAAGACTTCTTTTTTTTTAAGTATGCCAAAGTCACAGTTTAGTAACTTCTGAGATCCCTGCCAAACTGATCTGAAATTACTTGGCTTGATTGGGTACTGTCAACATTGAATCTGAGCTCAAATTTATACCTGAAAGGCTTAACTGACTAGGAGCTCCCCCATAAATTCTAATATGCAATTAATTCACTCCTGTTTATACCTGCATGCTTTAATTTGCTGAAGAATTTGAAAGATTGATTTGCAAGCCTCTGTGTTGATGGTGCGAAAAGTCCTTCCCAGGTGCAAAAGTTGATCAAAGCAGAAGTTTCCCAATTTTTTACAAACTTCCAATTACCAAACATTTAGTTATTGATATAGTGCACTGTTGCTGCTGGTTACTGGTTTGCATATGGTGTTCTAGTAACAGAACCTTGCAGTTTAATGAGTTTTAACGCATGACTTTATTTTTCTTGGTGCATATAAATTTCTATAACTATTTTAATAAAGCACTCTATAACTTGATGATTTATCAAGTATTTCAGAGACAGTAGCGTTCTTGATTGTGAGTCTTGTATTCAGCACTTGCAGACTGTGTTTAAATAGTTCTATTACGAGCTATTACTTTAGAATATTTGTGCCTTAAATGTCTGTTTATTTGGGTGAAATCTGGGATGTATAAAATCTTGTCAAGTCTTCAGTCACTTCTGTTGGGAACTCTTTAAAGGTTATAGTGAGAAATACACTAGTTTAACATTTCTCTTATGATCTCTTAAGGGTTGAGCAGTTTTTGCTGATAGTGGGCTTTTTGGTTAATCCGTAGATCGGAACATAAAGAATTACTCTAGGATTTAGTGTTACCACAGTTGATATTCCTGAATCAACCAGTGGGTGGGGTTATGCCAGGTTTATCACATACACTGTTTCCAATTTGCACTTTTCTGAATTACCATCTAAGGCAGAAACTATAAAGAAGGAAAACACTAAGATACAGTTTCATGTACTACAAATATAAGAGGAGTATCTAAGATCAATAACCTCTTTAGTTATTGATGTCATTTAGTGATGTTTGCTTTATCTGATAGAATACTTTGAGATCACTATTGACTTCTCAGCTTATCTTAAGCAATTCTGCACTCTGTTTTTGGTGATTTGGAACTTAAACAATTAAGCCACTTCTTCAGAATAAAGTGAAAACAAGAACAAACTTCCTCATTTTTCCTGGTACTGGAAGGGACAGAAAAAGAAAAGGAATGAGTATGTCTGGATGTTCTACTGTCTGTGGGAAATCTTCAGTCAAGTGCCCTTATTAGATTTGATATATTATATAATTGGGTTTAAGTCAGGTCCTTCTGGACTCTGTATATTCTTGGTGAAGACTGAATGGGTTACAGCCTTGCCTTGTTATTTTCACTTTCTTCTATGTAATCCTAATTACCAAAACCTGCAATGCATACAAATTCAGCGAGGGATTTCCAATGTAATAGTATTTTGCTTTCTGAATGCCTGACTTACATGCTTCTGTTATCTCCTGAGCAGTAATATTGCCAACTGTTGCAGCCTCATGGGAGCCTCTTGGGATTTAAGCATGTACCTTGCCTTTTCCTTTCATGTGAAGGATACACTGGTTTAAATTTTTCACTGGGAAATTTCTTTTCCCAGACAGAGATACTGTGTTGCTAGCTCTTAGCTGAGCTTGTACAGTGTAGTGGAATGCCTTTCCAGTTCTGGAGCCTAGTTTGGACTGGTGTGTATCGTAAGAGAGACCTACTGCAAATCGCCAGGCCCTATAATGGAGAGACCTGTCAACCGTTCAGAAACTACTCTAAAGCTAGGAAAAGTTAGAAGAATAAACATATTTTACTGTAGTAGAATATTTACTAGTTGTCATTGGAAAGGTAGATATACAGAAACGAGCAAATCACACATGCAGCTGTCTATTTTAGTACCAAATATTCTACTACTCTCTCTTTTCTCATTAAGTTAAAAAGCTGTCAGGACACTTGCATGCTTCTAGCAGCACACAACCAGCGTTCAAGGTCATATTATTTTGGTAGAGCTGGACCTTATCTGTAGAAGCTATGCCCTATTATATCTATTTTTTCTCCACTCCGTTCCACTTGGATTCAGATCTTCTACCTCCCAGTTCACAAACTTGATACCTAGTCCCACTTCTTCCAAAGAATTATTCCAGCTCTGAAAGGCTAATGTCTCTTGGGCATGTCTAGGCAGAAGCCATTTCCATCCAGACAGTCAAAGCAAAACTTCCTAACAATTGATCTGCTGTTTAAAAATAAATGAAATGCCCATTTGGAAGAAATTATCATTGGGAGTTAATAGGCAAAGTTTGAAACTCAGTGCAGACCTTTAATCTACATTTTACAGAAGAGCATAAAATGGCTACCATGATTTATACAAATGTACAAAAATGAGCTGTGAATTCTGTCCATTACTAAGTCTTGACTGAAACTTGATCCAGTGGTAAGCAAACGGATTCAAAGAGGTAGTTGAATGGGGCAAATTACTCATCTCTGTTAGGAAGGGTGCCATCCCTGCAAGAATTTAAATTCCTATTAGATGTTGTACAAAATAACTTCTAAGAAATTGAAGTAATGTATTTCAAATACACCTGACAAAGTTTCCTACATTCTGACTAGTTCTCCTTCATGGAAAAGCTAATTTAATTCTCAAAATGTTTAACTAAGGGGTGCACCCAGTGATCCCTGGTCAGTTTTGTGCACTCAGTCTTGTAAATTGAAAGGGAGGTTTCAGAGGAGACTGACATTTAAAATAAATGTTTGCAATTACATGCTAATATTTGAGCCTAAAAACTATTTTTCTGTAGAAATAGTCATGTTGCTAATATGTTTTGAGCATGTATTATCTTTCAGAAGTATATAGTGTTTTGCCTTCTTGTCCAAAGCTGAATACGTAGCTGGAGTTATATAAAATCTATTCCAGGTACTGGCATTTTAGAAGTAATGTTACCCAGGTGCCTTGAACTATGACATTAGTATGTCCCTGTCTTTCCTAGATGGATTCTTGTCTGAATCACATTTCCCTTTATTTCAGCTGTATCTTATTTGTGAAATGCAGTCATTTTGCATTTCAGTTGTAACTGAGGTCGTTTTTCTCCTTTTTTTTTCAGTAGATCAATTCCCCATGTATTGTGGATATCCTTGTTATCACTAGCAAATCCATGACCTTTGCACTATTCACTTCCTTTTGGATATTTTTATACATCAATCCTTGGGACACACAGATGACACATTGCTTCTTGTAATATACCAATTTCCCAGTACCAACAACGTGTTATAATTTAGGGTTACGAGCCAGCAATGTGCCCTTGTGACCAAGAAGGCCAATGGTATCCTAGGGTGCATTAAGAACAGTGTGGTCAGAAGGTTGAGGGAGGTTCTCCTCCCTCTCTACTCCGTCCTGGTGAGGCCACATCTGGAGTTCTGTGTCCAATTCTGGGCTCCCCAGTTCAAGAAGAACAAGGAACAACTGGAGAGTGCCCAATGGAGGGCTATGAAGATGATCAGGGGACTGGAGCATCTCTCTTATGAGAAGAGGCTGAGAGACCTGAGTCTGTTTAGCCCGGAGAAGACTGAGAGGGGATTATATCAATGAATGTAAATATCTTAAGGGTGAGTGTCAAGAGGATGGGGCCAGACTCTTTTCAGTGGCTTTTTTTTTCTTTTTTGATTAAGTCTTTGTCCACCTGAGAATGTTTATGTTAATTTCCTATTTCTTGCCTTGTAGTTCTTTTTTTTTTTTCACACTGTATCTTACATTTAACTGAAACCACATGGACTCTATTTAAGATGAGGAAGAAAAAGAAAAATGAATGGTAGTACAACTCTAGCATAAGATGAAGTGCACACCACCTCAATACTACTCCTTTTCCAAAAATGCCACATTGTGTGTTAGGGCACAGTGAGGTGAAGGAGTATCTGAAAAGGCTTTACATTAGCTTATACCAAAACTGGTCCAGTCACAAGAGCACAGACTTCCAAAGGAACTAAATAACAGTATCAGTTTAAAAACTTTGCTAACTAGGAGTGCTATCCATGTGTGTGTGGCTGGACAGCTGGTGTCAAGAGCTACCTCATGTTAAGGCTTGGGTGGCTTTATGCTTGACTGTCAGCAGCAGTGTGAACTGACAACAAAAATGAGTCCA